TCACAGATACCTACCCCTATCCCGACGGCTATGATGTACAGCAGCCGCTTTCTCCAGCTGGTGGCGACGAGGGCGGACATCCCGATCTGTGGGAGACATACGTTACTGTCACCACAAACGTGACCAATACTGGCGCCAATGACGGCCAAGTTGTCACGCAGCTCTATCTGGTCTATCCCGCTGAGGCATCCAAGACCGAAGGCGTCGACTTCCCTGTCAAGGTGCTCCGAGGCTTCGAAAAGACTTTCGTCAAGCAGCGGGAGACGGTCAGTGTCACATTCAACGTGACGCGGAGAGACCTGAGCTACTGGGATGTGAAGGCACAGAACTGGAAGATGATCACGGAAGGAAAGTACGGATTTGTTATTGGAACGAGCTCGAAATATCTGCATAGAGCGGCCGAGTGGTAGATATCACCCTTTGATGTTTCATTGGATTTATGGCGTTCAAGACTAAAAGGGTTATAAGCACCGGGACACGAATTGATTGCTTTCTTTTGCTATATACGTGCTGTATATTTGTTCATGATGAATTATTTCGCTCCGAAACCAAAATCTTCCAAGATATAGCATGTTGACCAATACATACACAACGTGATCTGCAAAAGACCAAGCGATGCCAAGACTATAAATGTGTGCCCAAGAATTAAACTATATCAGCTTCCTGATCCGGTATGGAAAACCTCACGACAAAAGGGACGGTCACATTGGCTTGGCACATGTTGACATGATTGGATCAAAAGTATTCTGCTCGGCACTTAGCGAATGTGGAGACTTTGGTTGCATTTGGCTTCAACTGATGTTGTCATCGACTGAGCATATGGCGTTGGCGATTCATGTGCCTGTTCGACTTTGAGCCTAGGCCAACAATTGTATGACTGCGAGAAAACTCACGGTTTCGTTCTGGGCAATAGCCAAAGCATACCCACAGAGCTCATGGATGGAAGAGTTCGATTCGACTTGCACGGGTACCAGGATCATCACGTCCACCAAAAGTTTGAGGTTGCCATACTTTCAAGATGTAGATTAAAAGATGAATTTTATTATTAAACAATAACTCGCTATACTTTTGTTATTCATAATCTACGTCACAGCTCCTCGAGCCTCACTAATCCTGCACGACAAACTGGTCCGCGTGGCTCTTGTACAGCGTCGACGTGTCGAGCACCTCGCCGGTGGCGGAGCGGATAAAGTCGACCCGCAAATTATTGGCATCGAGGAAAGACACGGTGGCGTAGGAAAAGTCGTCGGCGTACGCGAACGCGTTGTAGCTCTGCTCGGTGCCGACGGAGCTCAGGCCCTCGATGTTGCCGGCGCCGCCGGCCACGATGTACATGGGCGCCTTGGGGTCCTGCAGGCCCGCCGGGTCCGCCGTCGAGTTGACGACGGGCAGGAACCGCTGCGAGTTGTGCACGTGGCCGAAGATGGCCAGGTCCACGCCGTACTTGTATAAGAGCGGCTCAAAGGCCGTCTGGCACGTCGTGCAGTCGTCGCCGCCCGAGGTGGTGTACCTATGCCGTGCGTGTTAGTGTTGCTTCTGGAGGGAGAAGAAGATGAAGTGACGACTCACCAAGGTCTGTGGCCGCCGACGATGACCCACGGCGTCACGGTCCGGTCGACAGAGGCGAGATCCGCCTCGAGGAAGGCGAGCTGCTGGCCCAGCGAGCCAAAGGGCCCGGCCTCGAGGTGGGCCGACCCGCCGATGCCGTCGGGCGCGCCCTGGAAGTCGGTCTCGGTGTCGATCATGACGACGTGGACCATGCCGTACTCGAACGAGTACCAGAAGGGCGGGTTGGCCAGCATCTTGGCCGTGTTGGCGCTGACCTTGGCGGCGGCGTCGGCCGAGGTCGAGGCAAAGGCTGTGGGCAGCGTGTTGCCAAAGCGGTTCATGAAGTCGGTGAAGTTCTTCTGGCCCTCGGCGCAGAGGCTGCCCAGGTACGGGATCTCCTGGCAGTTGGCCTCGTGGTTCCCCGGCGAGGTCATGTACGGCTTGCGGCTGGCGATGGGCTCGAGCTGACCGTAGAAGTTCTCGAGGATGGCCTCGAAGGCGTTGACGCCGTCAAAGATGTCCTTGCCTACCAGATACCAGTCGTCGGCGTATCCCAGGTCCCCCGGGTGGACGACGAGCTCGTAGTCGTTGATGGTGCTGGCCAGGCGCCCGATGGTGGTGTGGTTCAGCGCCGGCGGGATGTACGGAATCGTGTCCCGCTTGGTCATGTCCATCTCGATGGTGAAGCCATCCTCGCCGTAGACGCCCAGGTCAATGACGGCGTTGAGCGCAAAGGGCGTCGTGTCGCCCGGCACGCGCGGGCTGAAGAAGTGCTCGAGCGTGGAGTTGGTCGAGTTGATCTGGTAGTAGTAGGTTGTAGCTGGCGTCAGGCCTTCCAAGGTCACTGCGTTTGAATACGTCCTGGACGTAGGATACGTGACGGAAGATGTCGAGCAGGCGACCGAGCTCAAGTCACTCTCCGATGTGCCATAGTAGACGCACGGTTGGCTGAGCTTCTCGAAGGTATTCCAGCCAATGGATACCGAGTTGGGACTCTGTATGGCAATTCGCTTTTGGACCGGAGTCGTCAGGTCAGACGGCTTCGGAGGGTAAGTCGCTGACGCCGACGCGGACCATGCCAGCAGTGGCAAGACTGCCAACGACTTGACTAGAGACATGATTCCTTGGCGTCTTACAGGGCTGACTTGGGGGATCTGGCTTAGAGACGAACTATCGAGACGAGTCCCGAAGATGACGAACATAAGCGGCCGGTCCCTTGTTATATTATACTCTGATCTCTCCTATGTCTGATCGGGGTCCGCACTAATAAGCTCCTCTAGCGGATGTCAGGCACATGCTTTATGGAATCGTATTTCCAGCTTTTAACATCTTGGAAAGCGAAACGGCCGAGGCAGCGCGAATGATTGGTGCCTTGTCAAGTTACGCGTGCAGGGGGTAATAAGAGAGAGCCAAGGATCTCTGGGCAACCACAAGAAAAATGGCACGTCGTCCATGCTGGTGGCAGCTTACTTACTTCTCTAGTCCGCCCGAGCTAGTTTCCGTTTCCCCAAGCTCCCTCCGACGAACGACAGGTCAGAACCCTCGAGACATCAAAGACGCTCTGTCCAATCGCGTGCCCTCCATATACCCACGGGCGGTGACTGCAGGGGCTCTGCGGGCGTCGGGGGGGGGGGGGGGGGGGGGGGGGGGGGGGGGGGGGCCAAAAGCCGGCCGATGTAACCCGGCGATCACGGGTGCAATCTTGTGAAATATTCGAGGTGTCATTTCCGGTGTTCTGCGCATCGCGGCGATGCTGCTTTTGCAGATGGATACTGCAGATTTTCGATACATCGAGAGATCAGAAAACACGTGCCCATGGTTCAAGTGACAATCTAGCTGAATCGTGGATCGGCCAGTGCCCACACAGTTGCAGATCGGGAATCACGGCCGACGGCGGTAGCAAGCTGCAAAGCAGAAGATTCGTAAGTCCTGGACTATCACAATTGAGGGATCCCGCTATCCACAACATTGTCATGCCCCAAAAGGCGAGCCGTGCTGCTGACAAGATAGTTGAGAAATTGTAAAAGCCGCGTCAGTGAAAGTTCGTCGTTGTTTTACAATTCCGAGTACTTGCTGGTGAGGAAACGCTTCTGAAGTGCGCTTATCGCTTTAGTAGTTGGTTCCTTAATTTCGCCAACGCCGGTAGTGGCCCTCAGGATACTGCGATACAACTAGCCACCCAGGTGATAGTCGGGAAACTCCACCCATCGAAATCTTCATCTACACTAACCTACTACCTTCGATTATTCTTATCAGCCAGTCCAGGAATACCTACAGTCGACATGGGACGAGATAATGAAAAGTTGCGGAACGAGGGGAGGTCATCATGTGACAACGAACTGATCGAGTTCGACGTTCCACGCCGATAAAAGTGCCCCGCCATTGACTTGGCCATGATATCCGTCCCGCTTCCGATTGAATCGCTTTTTCAAGCACACAAATACTCACAGAAAGATATTGATCGCATCACATGGATTCCATGCTTCAATTTGAGCTTAGAGATATAGTATTGGACGAAAAGGCACTAATTCATCAGCCCGACGTCGACGGGACACGGCTTCATACCCACCCATGGGAAATGCTGTCAGGAGGCAGCCGAAGTTACCAGCTTTGTTCGACGTAGAAAACATTTGGGAAAACAAAATTGGAAAGCTTGTTTTTACGAGCAGCCGAATAGTTGCCAGTATGTCCATCTCATGGGATTGAATAGCCGACAAGACATGCGCCGAATATACCATTTCGTCTCTTCGGCGCCTATCACATCAAATAACACGACATATCCTCGAGAGATCACGGAGAACTTGATTTAAGGTTAAAGCCAATGTTGAATCATCTGTACTTGATCCAGGAACAACCCTCTCTTGGTCTGAATATCGGATCTCCGGACTCGAGAGCTTGGGCCCGGCTCGAGGCAGTGCAGTCGTTCGGCCGGCTTTGGTCTGCATTGCCAAAGCTGCTCTGCGGCCCGAGACCGACGTCTATTAGACTGCCGCACCATGGTGCGACGGCATGATGGGATGACTGAGCCGTTAAAAAGTCGAAGAAGATCCTCATATGATGGGTCGTCGGGAACATGAGATGGCTCGAATAGCTTAAATGTTAGTCTCTTATGCGCAATATTATAACCAACATGTTCCGGCCCAGCAGTTCGTGTTCGTGTCTTAATATCAGATCTTGGGTCTCGACTCTCGAGGATCACCTTTGCGCATTACGGCTGCGGATTGCATTGAAAAACCAGCTGCTAGACAAATTGCTTTCGTCTTCTCAAGCGAGAGAACTTTCAAGGAAATGAACAGGAATGCGAAAATTTCGATGGACGATGCCGAAGTGCGTTGGGAGACGAAATCTCGATCGTGGAGCGGCGAAGCGGGTCGATGCTCCATAATCCGAGCATCAATCAGTGATGAATGAGAACTGGAATTGCTGAGCAGTGTGAATATAACAAGGCCAGTTCCACCCTGGCGCAATTGGCTAGCGCGTCAGACTGTTATATCTTATGAGCAATCTGGAGGCTGACAGTTCGATCCTGTCGGGTGGAGGACGCTTACTTTTGCCATTTTCATGGTGTTGATACTTTTTTATGAGTATACTGAATTTTTGCATGTGTGCTCTCCAAGGATAGGCGAGAGATGCTGACCGTTGGTGAACCATGTCGTGCTGGCCCGACGCCAAAAGCATGCCAGTTTGGGATCGCATTGACACTGCGTCGTCACCTACCATGTCTTGATTTTTTATTTTCTCCACCTTCGAAGTTCGGACCCAAGACAGATATGTCACATATCATTCTGATATTCAGACCTCACCTGAAGGCATATTAAAGCACGGGGAGGTACGATACATGACGTGCTAGATTTGAAACCGAGTCCGCGTGTGTGCTCATAAGGTCATCAAGATTTTATTATTCATTATGTAAAGGAAAATAGTTTGTAGTGATCAGTGTTTGGCCTGAGACTTGAACGAAGGCGCGACTGGCGAAAACGATCCGAGAACGGACAAGTTCACGGACTTGGCGATCCCGATGTTCTCCTCCTGGTCGGACTCGTCCCTCAGCCTCTTCCAGTCGCTCTCGCCGTGAGGGCGTACAGTAGCGACCGATATGCATCTCTCAGTGTTGAGCGTCAAGAAGCTCAAGTTCCGTGAGAATCGCATGGGAAGGCGTAGAGATTTGAAGGTTTCCAGAGCCAGTTCCAGCTGTCTCGCTTTTTCTTCCTCCACCGACAGCTTGTTGACTCTGTTCAAGACGAGGCGGCGCAGCGACGGGATCGAGCCCGCGATGATGCCAATGGCCAACTCGACGTTGGACCAGAGGATGATGTTGCCGACGTGTGCGGCGAGGTCTTCGGTGGGGTGACGGTAAGCTTCAATGTGTGGGATTCGGAGGACCGTGGTGATGGAAGCACTGGATATGGTGTTGTTAGTTTCCACAAAGCGTGAGATTCCGTGTGTAGTCTACTTACAGAGAACCAAAGGAAAGCAATATAGTGCCCCCAATCTTGGTCTTCAGCTTGGCCTCGGTACGCCATAACACGACACCGGGCAGCACAGCGCATGCAACATCGGTGGCGATCGAGCACGCGGTAGAGGTGTACAACAGACCGACCATGGCATTCAGCCCCGTGCAAACGACCCTGCCCTCCCGATAGGTTTCCTCGGCCGGTTTGCCCGATAGTGGGTGACACAAGGCCAAGACGCCAATGAAAGTGGTGAGATAGTTGGCAATGACGATGGCGAAGAGAGTCCATATCATGTTTCGGTAGACCTTGTTTGGACTTGCGATCCGGTACAAGGTCGTGCATACGGAGCACTTGATGAAGAGGAGTGCGTGGAAATAGACCATCATCCATATCACCAGATATTTAACCGACTCGAGTTTCAAATAATTGTTGAGCTGGGCGTTGTATTTGCCAATGCCGCGATATGCACCAGTGCATGCGAGAGCGACGTCGGCCAGAAACAGGAGCTGTATCGTTTGTCAGTCTTCCAGTAGTCTTCAAGGAAGGCAATCGTCATCATACCAAGCCGATGGCCATCAAGCTGTCATCCCAGCCAAAGTAGCCTTCCTTGAACCGGAGGTAGAATCGGAGAATAACAATGACCAGCGATGTCACTCCCAGGATGATAGAGGCCAGGACTATGGCCAAACTGAGGCCGCTCAGATTAGACACCCATTGATTCCCGGCAATGATCGTCATATTTTGTCGAATGCCGTTGGCCCGTCTTCGTGCATGGAACTTGATCGTGTGCAAGGGAACACTTGTTAGGTGGCAAAGACAACATTTTGGACTGGAGAAGAGATGTATAAAAAGAGGTTGTGATCTGATTAGAATACAGAAGTCCACGGTATTGGCACGAATAATGTCAAAGCTCAAGTTGTCAACAGTACTTCATTCGTACTTGCGGCTGATATCTCGATGCTCCCCGCGAACGACAAGAGTACTGGACCGTCAGACCATCTTCAAGTTTCGCTACACGACCGTTAGGAGAGATATGAATCGTAGGCCTATAGTCGAACCCGAGTCTAATCCGGAGTGGTTGCTGGATCCAGTTAGCTGATTGACTGACTGAACTATGAGATCTACCTACGCCTAAACTGTGCTTACCGTCGTAGGGCCGCAGCTTGAGCCCACGGTTCTACCTTAGTGGCGATCTAATGTAGTCGAGGCAGAACCAGATGATCGGATTCCCGGAAATCCATACCAAAGTTCTACAGTAACTATGCTGTCTCGATGGGCTGACGAAATAATCATCTCGTAGTTGTTACTTATTCCACAGTGTTTCGGGCAGCGCGGAATTACAGAGTATTTCTTTCTATCACCATAGGCGTCCTCATCTGATCACTCACATGCAGCTAACAGGTCCGGCGTCACCTGTGGATGTATCTGTCTCCTGTCTAGCCCTCCCGTCAGTGGTTAGTTTCCCATCGCAGGTGAGAATCCGGAGTGGACGAGGGAAAATCATGAGCTAGGGGCGAAGGCTTTCAGTCTACCCACTGGATCTAATCACCTTACCCGTCACACCGTTGCAAGTGCGAAGCCCGTCTTGGTCAAAGTCTAAGTCTCCTGGTAGGCCTGGCCTGAAACCCCGAGCTACCTGTACTGTACGTATGTATCTCTGCAGTCCAAGTCCGTTGCATGAGGGCGTAATCTTGCCATTCTGTTTTCTCGGATCGACACCGGATTGGCTGCCGACTCGTGAAGGACCCCTTCTCCATCTTTCTGGCTGCCTGCGGTCCGCCCCCCTTGGATATCGGCGAGCCCATCCACATCGTACTTGTTGGCCCATCTCTACCTAAGCCAGATAGTGCGTTCCGGTACTTTGGGAGCCAAGAAACGCCACGTTCGTCAAGAGGGTGACAACAACGCGTAAAGGAAACTCCATGAAAACATGATCTGACTGAAGAGGCGGAATATTCTGAAGATGACGGGAATGCATGAACGCGCCGGCAATGGTACGGTTCTCGTTCAAAGGCCTGGCCGGCAGTCGTGAATCTTTCCACTACTAGATAGGTGGCTGGTCTGGCGTCATGTCGCTGATCTTACGATCTCGCCGCCATCCACGGCCTCTAAAATGTGTGGACTAACAGCCCGCGCCGTTGTCATTCCTAAGGGTGGCGGTCCATCTTCATCTAACGCTGGCTGTCGTGTGCCCAATATTTAGATGTGATAACAGAACCGGCGGTGATGTGGATGCATGAACATATGCCTCCGGTATGTGTGAGCAGTGTCGACTCTTCATCTAGCATTCCATTTGCGCCTGTGAAATTAGTGTAGCTGATCAGCCCTTTTCACTGATTTGGCTGATTATGGGGTAGCTCGAGTAGTGACAGGCAACAGTGGTGAAGTCGGGATCTAATGATAATAAGTGATGCTTATATAAGTTTCTCAAAAATGCCGTGGCTATCAAAACAACATAGGATCCATCGATCCTGAGAGGTGAAAGATGATATGATGGAAAGTCACTATTCTCCCTGCTTGAGCAGATCCACGGCCATTTCCCTGAGCTTATACTTCTGGATCTTGCCACTGGCCGTCTTGGGGTACTCGTCGACCCACCAGACGTGCTTGGGCGCGAGGTGACCGCTCAGCTTGTCCCGGACCCAGGCCTGGACGTCCTCCTCGCGCAGGACTTTGCCACCCTCAGCATCTCCGCCCGTCGTGGTAGACCACCCCTTGGCCGGCACCACAAAGGCGCCGACGGCCTCGCCGTACTTGCTGTCGGGCACGCCCACGACGCTGACCTCCTGGACCCCCGGGCACTGGAAGACGCAGTTCTCCACCTCGAGCGGGTGGATGTTCTCGCCGCCGCGGATGATGAGGTCCTTGATCCGGCCCGTGATCTCGACGTAGCCGCGCTCGTCCATGCGCGCCTCGTCCCCCGAGTACATCCAGACGCGGCCGCCGTCATGAGGGTCCGCGATCCGGTCCTCGGCCGTGCGCTCCGCGTCGTTGTAGTACCCCTTCATGACGAGGTACCCGGACGAGGCCAGCTCGCCGCGCTGGCCGAGGGGCAGGGTCCGGCCGCGGTCGAGGGGGTCGACGACCTTGACCGCCGTGTGCGGCATGGCCCGCCCGACCGTCCCCGTCCGCTTGTCCAGCGGGTCGTCGGGCGCCGTCATGAGCGACACGGGGCTGGTCTCGGTCTGCCCGTAGCAGATGACCAGGTCCTGCAGGCCGACCGTGTCGAAGAGCCGGCGCATGAGCGACTCGGGCACCGAGCTGCCGGCGGCGATGCCTTTTCTGAGCCTGCGGAAGGCCCCCTCCGGCAGCTGCGCGGCGAACGCCGGGTTAGACAGCAGCTCGAGCTCGGCGACGTACATGGTCGCGACGCCGTACAGGCCCGTCGCCTCGTGCTCGGCGACCATGTGCAGGCTGGCGGCGGGGTCGAAGGCCGGAGACGGGAACAGTATGGCCGCGCCCGCTGTCGCTGTCGCCATGTAGCCGAGCACGCAGCCGAAGCAGTGGAACAGGGGCGGCGGGACGACCATCTTGTCCTCGGGCACGAGACCCATGCGCTTAGCGATCAAATTGCCGTTGTTCAGAATGTTGGTATGTGATAGCATGGCGGCTTTGGGTGTTGACGTTGTCCCGCTCGTGAACTGAATGTTGATGGTCTCGTCGGCTGCTAATGGTGAATCAGGCGTGATTGAGCGGGATGACCCTTCGAGCAACACCGAATAAGGGGTCAGAGCACGAAATTTGTCTATAGCAAAATCCACTTGTGGGTGAGAAGGCGTGTTGTCGACGAGCACGACAGATTTTAGGCTGGGCACCTTGGACGATTCAATCTTTCCCTTGAGGTTGGGAAGAAACGACTCCAGGAGGGGAAGATTGCTTCGGCCCCTACATGGTTTGTACGAAAGATCTGTGACGGCGCCAATAATCAAGACCTCCACGCTCAGATGATCAAGCGCCGCGATCAATTGCTGCTCATTGAAAGTCGGGTTCAGCGGCACCAAAATCGCCCCGAGCTTGAAAATGGCATATGTCAGCGCGGCATTCTCTGCGACGTTGCCCAGGCTCACTGCTACCCGGTCGCCCTT